GCCGCCACCCTCCGCCCCCCGCCGGGCGGCGCACTGTCCATGCTCCGGAGGCTGGCGGGGCGCAGGAGGGCCAGCAGGCGGGAGATGTTCCCGGGAGACTTTCCTTGAAGGGGCTCTCACGATCCAGGGAAAAGCCTGTTTCTCCCCACTTCCCTTCCTCTCTTACTGCGGATACGGCCATGGAAACAGCCTCTCCGGGGGGCTGGCTACAGGCATGTCTATGGAGCCCAGAGATCTGCCTGCTCCGGAGGCTGGCGGGGCGCAGGAGGGCCAGCAGGCGGGAGATGTTCCCGGGAGACTTTCCTTGAAGGGGCTCTCACGATCCAGGGAAAAGCCTGTTTCTCCCCACTTCCCTTCCTCTCTTACTGCGGATACGGCCATGGAAACAGCCTCTCCGGGGGGCTGGCTACAGGCATGTCTATGGAGCCCAGAGATCTGCCCCCCAGAGGCTGGGCAGCAGATTATACGGCTACCTCTGGCTGGTTCCTCCCAGAGCCGGTACAAAACCCCTCAGGGTCAGCACCGTTTGTGCCCGCCCCAGAGAGGCCGGGCTGCGGAGGAGCCAGAGACACTGAACTCCCCTTCCTCACGTGTTCTCTGGCCACCCTGCTTGGGTTCGGACCCACGGCCAGAGTTTAAAGCGGCATGCAAGGGCAGGACCAAGAGGCCGGGCACCTGACCTGCTCGGAGCCGGGTTTCATGCCCACTGCCTCGTCGCTCCCTCGGGGCGGTTGTACCGCGGCTCGGAAATGGCTAGTGAGCACCCCGGGGCCGTGGCATGGTGGGTGTGCAGGGGAGGTTTGCACGGCTCCTACCTGGGCGGTGCCTGCTCTCTAGGCTCCAGGGCATTCAGTCCGGCCTCTCTCGGAAGCAGGCAACGAATGTGCCCGTTTGTCTCTTAAAGCCAGGGCCCCGGGAGAGAAGACGGGCTTTGATGCTCCTGCGTTCCCCCGGGGCCCTGCTCACCTGGGATCACCAACACTTGCTGTTTGCTGCTTCCCAGCTGGGATATTGTGCGGCCACAAAGATTCTGCTCTCAGGTGGGAAACCGAGGGCAGGGGCCGATGGCCGGGTTAGCAAGGCAAAGCGCTTCCGTTCCTTCCCCGGCTCTCCAAACCCACAACAAACGAAACTGAGGGAGCCTGGGACTTTTCCCAACTACTTAGACTGGTTCTTGGATTCTCGGCGCCATCCTAGTCTGCACGACCAAACCTCCCGTCGAGCTAACCTCCCGACGTGGGCCAGGCAAACGGCCTGGCTGAAAAGACCGTACTTCCTTGGCGGTCAATAGGACACACCTTGGCAGGTGCGAGCCATCGGCCGCCAGGATCCATCGCTGCAGCCTCGATCCGCCGTGTAGCGAGGACAAACCCCGGCTGAGTTTTTGGCCATGGTTTAACCCCCACGCCCTCCCCACGGACCTGCGCTCACTCACTCCCGCAGACGCACAGCCACTCGGAAAAATCAGCACCAGCTTAAAGAACAGGCGAAGGCCGCCGGGATCAACGGGAGGTTGCCTTTTATCCCTTGGATTTCTCTCCCCTGCCTGTCCTCACACCTGTCCGGGTGTGGTAGTAAGGACTGAGTGAATTCATTCATCTCCATGGACCTCCCCACGGACCTGCGCTCACTCACTCCCGCAGACGCACAGCCACTCGGAAAAATCAGCACCAGCTTAAAGAACAGGCGAAGGCCGCCGGGATCAACGGGAGGTTGCCTTTTATCCCTTGGATTTCTCTCCCCTGCCTGTCCTCACACCTGTCCGGGTGTGGTAGTAAGGACTGAGTGAATTCATTCATCTCCATGGACGCGGGGTGACCCCACACTGGGGACCCAAGCCCCCAGCCCAGCCCTTTCCATGCC